CCTCTCCTCTTCTCTCTCTCTCTCTCTCTCTCTCTCTCTCTCTCTCTCTCTCTCTCTCCTCTCTCTCTCTCCTCTCTCTCTCTCTCTCTCTCTCTCTCTCTCTCTCTCTCTCTCTCTCTCTCTCCTCTCTCTCTCTCTCTCTCTCTCTCTCTTTCTCTCTCTCTCTCTTTCTCTCTCCTCTCTCCTCTCTCTCTCTCTCTCTCTCTCTCTCTCTCTCTCTCTCTCTCTCTCTCTCTCTCTCTCTCAAGATATGTAGCTGTGCAAGTCATCAATTGGTCATGACTTACGCCGCCGTGGGACCGAAGAGATTACACAGCCTTAGAGTAGGGTAGACCAGTGGATTAGTCCTATCACTGCAGGACGACTTTAGTGGTCCTAGTTTAAGTATACGTACTAGTTTGAACATTCCTGGGATCCCAGGATAAGCAGCTGGCAGTAGGATTTTCAACATACCAACTATAAGATGACAATTTTTCCATTTTATTATTTTCCATTTTAAGACAATGCTCACGAATATATAAGATCGCTGTACACTCGTAATATTTGTCCGAGACCTTAACTCACAAGCTTGGTCTGAGCGGCTGGCTTGAGCAGCGTGTTTAGCTGCTGTTTGCTTGGGAACAGGTTTCTCATTCGCGCTGATTAAAACAAGTGACCGCTGACAAAGTTTTTCCTGTACTCGCTATGGGTCATCGAAATCATTGGCATAGCTACCTGTGCTTCGAGAAGCCCTCATGGCAGCACCATGCATCGGGTGCTAGGACGGGGCAGAATACCGGATGTTCGTGGTTTTCGTGTCATTCGTGATGCCTGATTTTGGTGAAGAGTGTTGCGATCTTTTTTTATAAGGTCATTGGTACTTTCCGCCCTAGGCGTTGTGGTTTCGTGCAGCCATCAGCGTCGTCACCATATATCCATTATTTAGGTGCGTTTAGCTTGAATGATTTGCTGGTGATTCTTTAACACGAGTGTGCTTGATAGCGTTATTTAACCAGCACCTCCTGGCATATTACAGGTTTATTCTTTCAAGATAAAGATCCAACTTATAATTCCGAAACACAGACAACCAAGCCGCCAGGTACCTGCCAGCGGCATCATACCAACGCAGTTACTAGCGGACTATTTCTGAAAGTACAGGGGCCTCAGTCAAAAAGTCATGACTAGGACCCGACATATATGGCCTCCAGCTGCAATAACAGCAAATTGGGAAAACAGTTCATCATGCGTTGCGAGTGCATTACTAAGAGCGCCCATTTCGTACATCGCTCAAAGACTATCTTTCTCACCCCTGCCAATAGGAATGCTATTCTGACCCCCTGTGGCAGGGCGGACAAGCAGTGTTTTCGGCGTCCGCCTCCACAAATGCCACCCTCCCGGCCGGTGGCGAGGTCCGGGGAATACAGCGTCCGCTTCCGCCGCTAGATAGCCCGTGGGTATGCACCGCATCACCATTGGAGAGCGCGCAGACGTATAGCCATGGCTGGGACCGCGGGCAGACTTGCTTCAAGCGTAGATGATGGAACCAAGCGAGCCTAGTGGCTCTAATGGTTGACCTGAAGTTCATCAAAGCAGCTGAGTATGGGAGGTTTCAGGTACGCTTGATGAAAGTAGGTGAACGTAAAACAGAACGCTTGCAGTTCTACCGATACGCATGCATCGGCAAACTCAAAGATTCCTATTTAGGACTATACCGGCACAACATCATTGGGTATGCGTGGAACAGTTCTCAAGCAGACATTTAATAATTCTAGCTATTGCAAATGCGCAGTTTTGCATTTTTCAGCAAAAGATGTTGCCATTTATTTACGTTAGTTGCTGGCTACATTGCGACGTATTTGGGAGTGAATGTTCAATTTCACAACATTTTCGCACTTTTAGGCATGCAATAGTTCGTTCTTATGCGGAAACAAATATGCTGATTCTGTTTTACGGAAAAAGAATGTTGCCGGGCTGGGACCTGGCTTCGGCACCCGTCGCGGCGATTTTGTTGCACTTTGCAAATTCATATTACCCATGTTAGCCCATAGGGCGTGATCGCACCAGCCGATGGCGTCCCACTGATCGGAGTCGCTCATCTTCCAAAGTAGACCGACCTTAACATGCGCTACGGTGGGCGGGCTCGATTGGACCTCGGATGGTTCTCCGGAAAGGTTCCGAACGACCTGGCGCAACCGCAACGAAACATGAAAGCTGTAGATGATGGGAGAGCCAATCTTTTGGCACAAAACGACCATCACTTGTAAGATCACTAACTTATGGTTGGTCAGAACCAGACTGGCCGTGAGCAAACGTAACGCCCTGAGAATGACTCGATCTGATGCGACAACGGCGTGTTAGACGAAGCCATAAATCGTTGACATGATTTATGCGAGTGAATTAAAAATTAGATTTAGGATGTCGACTTATTCATTTACCTTGGGACAGGCATGAAGGTCAAGCCATGGTCCAAACCCAAACGACTTTTTACGGGGAGAATATGCTTTGTGGGTTAGTTTTTAACGCTCATTTCAAAATTTACTGATCACAGGGAGGCCGAAAGATACGTATTTGGACTTCATGAAGGTTGGAGCAGATCGCTGACCCTAAAATGACGCCGATCAATCCTTTTGATTTTATTAACGTGCCGTCCAGATGTAATTCTAGATGTTTGGTTGGAGGAAACGAGTGAAAACAATCTGGAAGGTTTTTGGTCGCCGTGACCTAGGGGTAAATATGGTCACTGACCCTGGTACAGACACCAGCAGCCTGCTGCTTAGGAAAGGTATCCTGCCTGAAAAGGGTGGCATCAGAAGATCCGAGAGCACTTCGTACACCGGTCAAGAGTTTGCCCTTGTTTGCATCATCTGACCCATAGTCATAACCTAGGTTCCCCAAGTTTAGACAAGTGAATTACCGCATCGCCGCCTGAGGTGCATGCCATGGTAGCTCCATCAGCTGGCCCTTTCACTGAATCGGTGTTGGGCCCCCTGTAGGAAACCTACAGGGGCCACATTACTTTACGTTACCTTTGAATTGACCACCCTCATTAACTGCTTGCAAGCCGTAAGTCCTCAGTCGTTATAGCTCAAATGTCGCTTCATTGCCAAAGACACGATGCATGATCACCATAATGTCGTTTCGCTCAACACGGCGCGCAATTGGGCCTAAAACGGCAGCGCGTGGCTAACCGCGGGTGCCTGTAGCGAAGGTGATCTGATGTGCTCGATCGTTCTTCATTTAGCAAGCCTAAATGCGGTTTGCTCAGCACTGTGTGCCGCGTGACAAGTGGACCAATAAGTTCATACGCATTAGGTGCAGTTAAGCTTTGCGAGGGAGCTTCTGTCCCCAAGGTTGTGCCTACGCTTAACCCTTTCTCATCTCGGGACATACCTGCCTCTTCTTGACAAGCTCATTGCTTTGCGTTTTGGTTGCTAGCTTATTTATGAGGCAATGGTATGTTTGTTCCATGGAATGATTGCACGTATTTATCAATAACAGTTAAACAGATATCGGTTGGCGCCTTCTCACGTCATGGAGCTCCCGAGACGTGCAGCAAAACTGATCGTGTGGAATTACATTAAAACAATGACAAAACAGTGCGACTTCGTTGTGGTGCATGACAGTCTCCACCAGTAACAGATAGCAATGCAGTATGGGATGAGTGATGTAATGCAGTGCGGAATGAAGTCTCGGGCCCCTTTTAAGGAAGCCAGCAAGAGGAGCTTCTTGCCAGTTGACCCATGTCTTGGGGTGCCTCACTGCTACTTTGCCTTCCTGCTAACGTCGTTTGATCCGGTCCGTTCTG